CTGTCTCTTTTTGTATTCCTTCAAGGGAAAACAAAGTCGCCTGCATTCTGCGCTTTGATCTACGTTGGGAGTTGGGGGAGCGAGAAGGATAGATACCGCCTTGCCTCTCTTCTCTTTCCTCTGCAGTTTCCTTGTAAGCGAGAGAAGGTGCATCTCACATCTCAGGGAACTAAACGAGATTTGTCGATCTTCTGTACTAGCTTTGGTCTGCTGTATTAGCACTAATGTGTTTTTAAGATTATAACATAAGCAAACACGTTTTTATTGAAATTATTTTATAGGGTATAATTACTGTTAAACTACTTAGCTGACAAGTGAAAAGCTCTTAGGCGATTTCGCTTGCTTTTAAATTGGGATAGCTGTGCATGCAGTCGAAACCTGCACTGAGCGGCACCTCTGTTACGGACTGATGTCATTTACTAAGCTCTGTCCCTTTGGTGTCCGTAGTACAGAGTCAACTTTTTTAACAGTACTGAGTACTTCGATACCCTACACATTCATGAGAGTTCTTATTACTTTAAACATAATTATTTTGAGCGTTTGTTGGCATCCTTCTCTGGAACCTGCAGTGTTTCTGTTAGCTATTGCAGTTATCTTTTTCCTGTTATCAAATAACGAAATAAAGTTTAACATCTAACACAAAATACCTTTCTTGTTGTTTTTNTTTGGTCTGCTGTATTAGCACTAATGTGTTTTTAAGATTATAACATAAGCAAACACGTTTTTATTGAAATTATTTTATAGGGTATAATTACTGTTAAACTACTTAGCTGACAAGTGAAAAGCTCTTAGGCGATTTCGCTTGCTTTTAAATTGGGATAGCTGTGCATGCAGTCGAAACCTGCACTGAGCGGCACCTCTGTTACGGACTGATGTCATTTACTAAGCTCTGTCCCTTTGGTGTCCGTAGTACAGAGTCAACTTTTTTAACAGTACTGAGTACTTCGATACCCTACACATTCATGAGAGTTCTTATTACTTTAAACATAATTATTTTGAGCGTTTGTTGGCATCCTTCTCTGGAACCTGCAGTGTTTCTGTTAGCTATTGCAGTTATCTTTTTCCTGTTATCAAATAACGAAATAAAGTTTAACATCTAACACAAAATACCTTTCTTGTTGTTTTTGATCTGTGTGACGGGTTTTCAATCTATTGCATGACTGTAAATGATTAGAATTTGTATCTGGCTGAAAATAATAATAACCAAGCGCGATCTCGCAGGCACGCACGCGTGCAGGCGCCCTGATTAAGGGTGGATAAAGGTTGGGCGGTGAAATGAGGGCGTCCGAGCAAAAGGGTGTGACGCAGTGGACTGGGACTCTGTTTAGAAATGTCGCCTGTTTTCGACTTTGGTCAATTCGGCCTGGGCTTGCGATGTGGTTTGTCCTTTAGACATTAGGCCCATTTATACGAGGAAAAATAAAGACGCGTCTTAAATAAGACGCGAACTGTACCATTTATACGGGCATGTCTTATCTAAGACTAGAACAGCTCGTATAAATGGTTCGCGTCTTATTTCTGTTCTTGAGTCGTTTTCATGTGAATGTTGCCCGTAGCAACGGCAATCCAACGTGGCGCGCCAAGAATTAACGCATGCGTACTATGCGTTTGCGTCTTATTTAAGACGCGAAGGTCATTTATACGAAGTTTTTCTCGTGTTAGCTAAGGGCTGTTCTAAAATAAGACGCGTCTTAGCTAAGCCGCGTCTTATTTTAGACGAAATGTGCCGTTTATACGGAAAGTTCGCGTCTTATTTAAGACGTGTCCTATGTAAGACGCGTCTTATTTTTCCTCGTATAAATGGCCCTACTGTTAATGATATATATGAAATAAATCATACATGAACTGCGGAAATGAAATGAAAATGAAGAAATGAAGAAATGATCGTCGCAGTGAACGCAATTTATGCAATTGCGTAAAGAAGCCTGAAAAGACACTGCCGCTGTCACTGAATTATGGCGGCTTGAGAATTGAGTTTTTTTTTCTTACACTTTTCTTCCTCGTTCCTTTGTGCTGGTACGCTGTCTCCAAGAGGCAAATGTTGCTAATTGTTTGCGGGAGGTTTAGTTGGAGTAAACAAACATCTCTTTCAAATGGTTTCTCTGGTTAATACTTCCATGACTCTACCACTGAATTTTATTTTCGTTATATTACGCCAATGTCGATGTTATTCCAAAACAAAAACAACTAAACAGTCTAAAACACGAAGGAAAGTGTCATCCATGGCAAAACTAAATGACAGCAGATGGTTTTTCATAACTAGATTAAGATATTATAAATGTGTGCACGCGCAAGGTGTAATTATGCTAATTTCAGTCACCATCATCCTTCTTTTTAATTTTGAATTAAACTACTCGTACGTCTTTATGTTTCTTCAAAACTTCAAAATTAGTTTCCCCTCAGTGTTAACTGTTTACTTTTTTTTGTTTTTGAGAGAAAACGGAGAAAAAACCCTTACAATTAACCTCAATAAATTTTGTTTACATGCGGTTGCTGGATTTGCGACGCATTGCGCGAATCCCCATAGCGCGTTGCTCCCAGTCCTACTCGGCCAGTCCTACTCGGCGTCAGACATTGAATGAAGATTCACCTCTCAACCTTTATCCGCCCTGCCCTGATTGATTAGTTTGCGTGATAGGAGTTCGAATTTTCCCGTTCGAGCGCCTGCTACGGAGGCTATGATGCGATTGCGTTCGCGTTTGTGACAGACCGTTCACCCATTGTCGGTAATACGAAGATTTAGCAACAGGACGGAAACGTAATTTGGCGACGGGAAAGCGCGTGGAAAGGACTAAACACGACTTCCGGTGCCCAATTTGCCGCTTTTCCATTCTTTTCCATTGGTCAAGCCTTTTGTTTGATTTGCGCGCGCCGTTGTCAACTGACGTCAGGAATGTTCTGTTGTAAGTAGTAAGATGCTAAACAAAGCTGTCTCCATGGTGTATCTACTCAATCAGCTCTGAGAAAATGTTCTGTTGTCGGTAGTAAGATGCTAAACAAAGCTGTCTCCATGGTGTATCTACTCAATCAGCTCCCCACGAAATGATGTCTAAGGAACAAGCGCAGAAATGCTATACTGCTAACTGGTGGTCGTGCGGCGAGCAAAATTAACTTCAACGCGGGAAGCACTACCCAGATCAGTATGGAATTTCTCTGCTTATTCCTCCGATGTCAACCAGTGGCGGCGTCTCGAAATCTAGGCATTTTTCGTAGGCCACAAGAATCTTTAACATACATTCATCAGGCTGGGCCCAAGGCCTGGCTTCTTTAGCAGCATGTCTCAGGCTCTCCGTGAATGGAGACAACCGAAAAGAGCCAGCGCAAAGAATAGCCGGCGGAAAAAATTTTTCCCCTCGAATTCACTTTTCCTTTTCGGTTTTCCTGACTGAATTAGACATTGTAATACGTGTTGCTTTATTTCTAGCATTTTTAACGGCCACCTATTTATGTAGCCACGGTCTCAGGCGTTAGGTTGTGGGGTTGGCGCAAAGAGGTCTAAGGAAAACAGCTCCCGCCGCACTCCATCATCTTAACGCGTGGAACAGGCTATCGTAAAAGGCTGGGGCACCGACTCTACAAGACGACTTGCTTCGTTCCTTGTCTTCTAGGTAAAGAAATGTTCGGACCGACCCGGATTCCACATGGTCTTGTGGCTCTGCGGCCTGTCGCATAAATAACATTTAGCCCAGTCATCTTCCAGTATATGGTAGTTTCAGAATGTTGTGACCACAAAATGACATGCTTCGTGCTTGCGGCCCAAAACCCACTGGGTCAGGCCGGGCACCCCTAACAACCGCCTTTTTTGCTGGCTCAGTTTCCGGGCTATTGCCGTTAAAATAGCTCACCACGTCTGACGCCGGGCTTTTTGCAACTAGTCCTGTACTCTAGTAATGGATTTTCGAAGGCATTAAGTGGCACAGGTTGAAAAAATATGGGCCTTTGGTAACTCCTCCACCCCTCCCATCCTCTTCTGGGAACAATTAAGATGAGCGTGGGTAGCCTGGAGAGGCGGATAGTTTGAAGAGGGCAGTTATCATGATTCTTTGTACGGTTCTCCGGTAAAACAGGAGGTTTCCGACAAATAACGCATGCGAGCTACTCTAGACATCAAATACCGTCAGACACGCTGAATTGCTTTTTTTCCAGTAACACTTTCCATTCAAGGACATATTATTACTTCCACATCTCCCAGCCAGCAAAAATGTCCCAGCAGAACAAATATTTAATTTGAGGAACAGATCCATTAGGCCCCCGTGTAACAAAAATAGAGGTTGAGTACATTTCTCATGGAGAGGAAACGTTTACTGTTGGTTTTCACTAGCGACGGACTCGGAGTCGTAGTCGTAATCAGAAGCGTAAAGCGTATGATCTACTGAAAACAGCGTTCCGATTCCGCTTAGGACTCCGTCGCTTATGTTTCGCCTATGATCTAGTGAAAACCAGATTGTCGGAGTCGGAAGCAGAAGTGGAAGGATAACCCAATCAGAATGCACGTTCCCACGCTTTGTGATTGGTTTAGTTCTTACGCTTCTGCTTCCGACTCCGACGATCTGGTTTTCACAAGATCATAAGCGGAACGTAAGCGACGGAGTAGTAAGCGGAGTAGAAAGAAATGGAAACGTTCTGATTCTTTTGACTCCGATTCCGTCGCACTTATGTCTCCGCTTACGACTCCGGTCTTTGATTTTCACTAGGTCATAAGCGCTCTTTCGACTCCGCTTACGATTCCGACTCCGACTCTGTCGTTAGTGAAGACCAGCCCATCTCAAACCTTGTCGGTTAATTGTTTTCCGTTAATTTTTATGTTTTGTATCTGCTTAATATAACCATTCCACGATAGGCAATTGTTTTACAAATTATCTAAAATTCAAATGATGTTAACTCAACAATAAAACTGGCGGGAAAGCTTTAAAAGCCATTTGTTTTCCGTAAACCAATCAAATGCGAAAACCATTGTAATGTTATTATGATTGACAGCTGCGAGTGAATAATTGAAGATCAAGCGAAGTAAGTTCACTCAGGGCTTGCGTTTCTACATGCTCTGGAAAGATTAGTGCGCTGGAATAAGAGAAATTATTTCGGCCCAAACAACTTTAAGACACAGCTAAACGTGGACGCGTTGCAGCGCTGTGAGCGTCAAAGTTTTAGAAATGGGAGTTGGAACGCGTTCTTCAGCCAAGAAAACTCAGGGTAGGTGGCATGTTCGACCGCTCGCCCTCACGAGAGAAAACGTGTTTTGAATGTGGGTTGTTTGGAAATTCCTTCACAAGCTAGCGAGAAGATTGATAAATTATAATGCTTTGATTTCAGAAGAGGAAGAGTTAAAGGCCAAGTTGGCAAATAGAGTCGACGCTGAGACTCAAACGGACCCTGATATTACGGGAGTTGACGCTGACGATTTCGAAGAAGATGATGGCGAAGAAGAATCAGGCTCGGAGAGCAGCGAAGAGGAGGAGGATGGAGATGGAGAAGACGCACAGTCCAAGGGTGTCGACAAGGGAACGTCTTCTAAACCAGTGCGCCGCAAAATCATTGAGCTGAAGTATTATTTTGGAGAAGATTTACCCGATGCAGAGCTCGACAAACGTAAGTGTGATATCGATAATTTTGCTCAAAGCACATGGCAAACTTGCATAAATTAGTGATTACAGTCTGGAATTTTACTCCGAACGGTTCTGTTATTTTGCGATTTAAAAATCTTGTTGAACGACTGTAGAGTGTCTTTTTGCAAATTCTGGGCACATCTCCTTATTGCAGATGAGGTAAATACGTAGTTTGGAGAAAACGCGAGTTTCCATCGTGAGTCTGATCTCGGATGACTCGGAATTCAAGACAAGTCTATTTATATGCGTGCTTATAATTGCATACATCACAAGGCAGGACTGTAAAGATAGCTACATAAGCTGATCTAAACTCCTAACAAGATATACATTCTTCTCACGGGTTCAGAGAATATTGCCTGTGTTTCAGCGCAAACGTTTCGCCAGCCATGTCCTTTGTAAACATTTTAGGCTTAGGACTAAAATTTCTCGCTTCACACACATTTATTAGCATATGCATGTATTGGTTTACACTTACAGTGAAGTGAATGAAACTAAAAAGATCACAGCGAAAACGAAGCGAAAAACCAATGCTTTGTTTGATTTCAGCTATATTTATACATGAGGAAAATTTTCGCATGTCTCCCGAAATTCCCACGTGAGGAAATTTCCACTTTCATTCGCTACATTTTTGGTGTCACGCATGCTAATTTTGGAAAACCATTCAAGTGTACAAACTACAGGGACGCTGAATTGGCTTCCGTTGCTGTCATTTATATGCGACCTACATTTCGTTGATTGAAAGATAAAGAACTGGTGTTGCAGTTAACTTTAATCGTTGCATGGATACTCGACATAATAATTCAGCTCCAGACAGACTCTATTGCGATGTTTACAAAAACTTACATGTGCTTTAGAGAAGAAAGGTTTCATTTTCTCATTAAAATCCTACATTTGGATTGTATACTTGTTGTATACAGTTAATATTTTGGGGCCCTAGCCTACAAAATTAGAATTTTCCAAAACATGTTCTCTATAGTATTTAACATCTCCAAGCAGACGATGAGGTGGTTTGTAGTGATAGGGGCAAATTTTTTCACAACACCCTAAGCCTAAAACTAGTTTTCATTAATTTATAAGAGCTGTCTAGACCAACTTTGCAAACTTTGAGGGCCCACAACAAGAGTGACTTGTACACATGTAATCAATAAGGCCTGGTATGCATGTGCTTACTAAGTAGTTAATTTAGGAATTAAGTTGATTTGTCAGCCTGCAGGGGTGGATCCAGGATTTTTTATTGGGGAGTTGGCTGACACCAATCAGCCACTAAACTATACGTTATTAAATTTATTTTAAGTTGTCCTTTGCCCCAAAACATGGCGATTTAGGAAGGACAAATTGAAGACTGTAACACTGAAACTCTTGATGCGCCACAAAGTAGAAGAAATAGAAGCTAATAGTTACTACCCTAATACAACAACAATAACAACAAGTTTATTCAGTATTACCATTTTCTACAGGTGTTACCAATTAAAATAACAATAATAAACAGCTAAGTTTAAGGAAATGCAGATATATGTTTCTTTCGTCTTTCAAATGCTTGAAAGATGAAATTAGCAGCTAGCCTGCTGATATGTGAATCAGTATTGTTAAAAAGAAAACAGACTTTCACTAACACTGAAACTCTTGATACACCACAAAGTAGGAGAAATAGAATAAAATAATTACTACCCTTGTCAGCCAAAAGTGAAGATGATGTCATTCGTCTAGGGTGCAGCGCTACAAATTTCTCACAAACCACACTTGTAAATTGCGTTTGTTTTTCGAGTCGTTTGGTGGTTATTGTGTTGTAGGCTTCTATATTCTGTAAGCTGTTTCTTATTGCAATAGCAATAGCTGAACCAGTCATTCTTGGCAGATTACACATGTCGATCAGAACCCTGTGCTTTATTGGCTTGGATGGATCAGCAATGAAGTTAAACAGGCAGAGATACCCTGACAACACTTCTTCACAACCCTGAGAAGCTTTTTCGTCCACAATTAATGCTAAGTGGGGATTCCTCTCAAGGCATTTCTGAAAATATTCACATTGTGAGGCTAGATGACTTCACATAGTTTCCGGGATCAACGTATTGCCATTTGTTTTCCCACAAATTATATTTTTCTGGTGGGCTGTTCTAAAGGGGGATGGCTAGCCACCCAATCCACCCCCCTGGATCTGCCCCTGACCTGAAATTAATGGCAGGGGTTTTGTCCTTTTCACAAATTGTTCTGTTTAGCTAAATGCCATTTCCACAGAAAAGTTGGATTTGTAAATTTATATATAATAAAATATTTGTTGTTGGGTGAATTTTCTGGAATGGTTTAAACAGTAACATCAATAAAATACTCAGCACCGTAAGCATACTATGTACGATGGAACGAGGATTGCAACACTGAAATCAAATTTAATACTGTAATCTTCCAACACCACGCAAAAACCTTATTTGAAACTATTGTTGGCTGGTGACGGGCAAATGTTCGGATGTACTGGAGATAACCTTTTGGTCACATATATGAACTTTTAATAACAGTATTTTTAAAATTATTAGTGGCCTGGTCATCTCAACTTCTGCAATTGGATACTCAACTTAATGGGTTCTCTTTTCAACCCAAAAAAGCTCTTGCTTTTGAAAAAGTTTGTCAAGAATTTAAAAGAAAAGTGTTTTGCGAGGTGCAATAATCTTACCTGTAAGATGGAAGCCAGTTGTTTGAGGGGTGATATAGTCACAAGTGCAAACTGTATCATTTTGTTTCATGCTAGTAATTAACATTTTTATTGCCTCAATTACAAACCTCCTATACCTTGTTATGTTTGATTTAACAGTGATTCTTTACTAATATTTTTATTCTTTGGTCGCTTTCAACAGTTGCACAGGCAGAGGTAATCGTTCCCCCTGGACTTGAAGTCAAAGAATCTAACATTCCCAAGGCTGGTTGTGGAGTGTTTGCTAAGTGTGTAATTCCCAAACATGACTTTTTTGGTCCATTTATTGGCAAAAAGATTCCTGCAGAGGAAGCAAAGAAGTATAAAGACTCTCTATATGTTTGGGAGGTGAGACCTTGTTTTATTTGCTTGTTATTTAAACAACAGAACAAAATAATGATGATTGGTTGGTAGACAATGAGGTAAGGTAGGTAAAAGCACATACAAGCCAAAGTCCCAATTTAGCCGGAGCTTATCCTGGTGTCTTAAGCATGAAGCAATTGCCTAGGAGTATTGCTTCTCCACCCTGGATAGGATGCTAGTCTATCACAGGGTTACCCCCCAGAAGCATGTTGCCGGTACCCATTTATACACCTACAGCTGTAGGTGAAGAGAGACAAAGGGGAGTTAAGTTTCTTGTCTAAGGAAACAATGTGACGGGCGAGGCTTCAAACGCGGACCTCCATATCCGAAGTTTGAGGTTAACCTGCTCAACCACATACGCCCCCACCAGTAGACAATGAAGCTAAATATAATCATCAGTATCTTTTTTGAGTTTGGTCATCTGGTTCACTTAACTTTAAATCGTGAAAGATTATTATTGTTCGTCAAAAGGGTTTTTAAAGTCAAGTTTCTTTTGCAGATGATTGGATCTGCCAGAAATGGACACTGGTTTTGAAAAAGTTGTGTTAATTTCTTGTTAATTGCTGTCTTTTTTGATCCTGTTTTCTAACTGTTTGACCTTTGAGATTTGAGTTGTTAAATGACATTGTAGCATACTTTGGTCAAGCCACTGGTAACATTTCATGCATTAGTCAAATTTATTTTGTGATCAATTAATTTTATTTGATACAGTTGTTTGTTTGTTTCCCTAAGAATGTAAAAATGGCAGGGGAGGAGTGGGATCAAAAGTTTTAATCTTCCTCTAATAAACATGAGGCCTGCCTTTAGATTATTAGAGATACAGTTGTGGAGGATAAAAGCAGTGTCACAAACTTGTAGGTACGAGATGACTATGGCAAGCTGATGCATCTGGTTGATGGTCGTGATGCATTTCAATCCAATTGGTTGCGCTACGTGAAATGCTGCCGCAGCCCAGCTGATCAGAACATCCGTGCTGTTCAGTATGATGGAAATATCTATTACATGGCAACCAAACAGGTTGAGGTTGGAGAAGAACTCCTGGCATTTTATGGAGAAAAGTTTGCCCGGATGCTGGGGATAAAAGTGCCAAAGAAAACATCTTCCAAGGAGAAAGGTGTGTATTTCATCCTCTCCGTCTTACAACTAACTGCCGCCTGGTTAGCTCAGTTGCGAGAGCCCTGACCTGTCTGCCGAGCAGGAAGACACAGGTTCAATCCGTGACCAGCTGGTCCAAGAACCAGAGTCTTAATAACCTGGTAAGATCATGGAGGCTGTGATTCAAGATTTTGTCTCAGTTCAGATGATCGCATCATTGGGTGGTGACGTTAACTAAGCTGTTGGCTTTGTATCCTTCATCCTTCCTTATCAACTGGAAAGGGGCGTGAAGGAACGAAAAGAATTTGAAAAGAGTAGATGTAGACCTTGTGGTGTGGTCTACATTTCTCATGGGGGAAGGGACCGTTACTAGCCTGCAGTGACCCTGCCAAAAATTGGCCAGTCTAAGAATAATAATTGTCCCTGTTTGTAATTGGCTCAGGGACATCAGGGTGATAAATGAAATCCTATTTTTTTTGCACCTGTGAAGTACACGTACATAGTATTGTTGGTCTGACCTCCTACCTGCATATTGCCGGTATCCACCAGCCAGGCGAGTTGGGTGGGGTGGGGGGGGGGGAACTGCCATATATGGGCTATATAGGTGTGTGCCACTGTGAAGAGTATGGTTTTTAAGCAGTTCAAGGGAAAGGAAATTTAGTTCGCGCTATTGGGAAATTTGAGTTATCTGAGTTCGAGTTATCAAAATTCTACTGTATTATTGGTTGAAGATTTTGGTCTTCACAAGGCAAACAGGGAACTGACACCGAAAAAATGCAATTGGCAAATTTACATGTAAGTTTACTTGCAACTCAGTTTTGTAGCAATAAATTAGCATCTGAGGTTTCTGGAAAATAGCGACTATAGGATAGGGAGGGATTTTGGGAGTTTAGTCTATGGATAGGATTCCCAGCTGCACATCCCCACCCCAGAAGTCCTCAAGCATCCCAAGAATTTATTGATAAAGACCTATCAGGACTTGAACCAGTGACTCCCATAAAAATGTCTCTTTTTTTTCTCAACAGAACCTGCTGATGAAAGTTTTGGCTGCAAAAACTGTGGAAAAATGTACAGTAACCCTGCATCACTTATTGGTCATCTTAAGTACAAGTGCAATACAGGTATTGAAAACATTTTATTTTTTGCATGAAGTCTTTAAACAAAGGACCAAATTAAAAGCCATTTTTTTACTACCGAAAAGATGCAGTATACTTACAGCTGTGCATGTCATGTCAAATCATGCCTTCACCGATATATAAGCTAAGGCAATCACAAAAATAATTTAAGAGCTTAGTTAAAAGCCTTTTCATGGCTATCTTATTTCACTCATCCATTCAATTCAATCTTTTTCATTTTTTCAGGACAGCAAAGGAGCATATTTGTACCTCAGCCTGTCGGTCCACGTGCTGCTATTCCTAAGATCAAGGTGACTGAAGAGTATGCTCGCCAACAGAATGAGAAACTAAAGAAGTTTAAGTGTGATGAGTGTGGAAAGGCATTCATCCGCAATTACACCTTACAGTGTCACAAGTTGATTCATACTGGTATAAAGGAACACAAGTGCGCTGAATGCGGCAAGGAGTTTACCCTGCTGAAGCATCTTCAACGACACCAGCTGGTTCATACTGGAGAGAAGCCTTACAAATGTCACCTCTGTGGACGTGCATTCTCCCAGCAAGGCAGTCTTCAGGCTCATAGCCGCACTCATACTGGAGTCAAGCCCTATTCATGTAAAATCTGTGGGCGGGCCTTTGCACTGCAGTCTCCACTACTGTCCCATATGAGGACACACAGTCAAGAGAAGGCCTTCAAGTGTGAGACCTGCGGAAAGGCTTTCACTCACAGGAACACCTTGTCCAGGCATGAGCTCATCCACACTGGTGTCCGCCCATTTAAATGCGACCAATGTGGCAAGACCTTTACTCAGACCAACGATCTCAAGCGCCACAGTCGCATCCATACTGGTCTGCGTCCTTACAAGTGTCACATTTGTAACAAGACCTTCACAGTGGAATTCACATTGGTTTGTCACATCCGCACCCATACTGGTGTTCGCCCTTACAAGTGTGACCACTGTGATAAGACCTTTACCCAGCCTGGTGCCCGACTGAAGCATGCGCGAAACAATCACCCTGACAAGCCACTTCCAGGAAAGGTGAGTTGAACATTAAATTGTTGTTTTATTTATTTATGTGTCTCACAATAATAGAAATACAGTACACAATGTGTAAGGTAATTAATGAAAAGAAGTGGAGAGGAGACCTAACAGAAACTGTAGGAGCTTTTGAGAGGTAATAGGCCTCCTTGAACTTAATGAGCTGTAACTGAAAGATGGTGTAAAGTCAAAGGTAGAAAAGATTTATGACCGGTTTTTATATGTACTTATCAATTTTAATCTTTAGTATTTTCTTAAAGGAGGACATGAATTAAAAAAAACTTAGGTCCTTGAAAAAACAAACTGAGAACTTCTTAGTGTTTGTTCGACAGTAGGATAGATTGTAGGCCTGGGAATTTCTTGTATTGTAACGGTGGAATTGATTGCTTTGGAAGACTTTGTTACAAAACCTTGGAGGCGAGAATGAATTTTTGTGAGAATACGTTTACTATGAACTCCCATAACAGTGGACAACCTCAGGACTGTGAGGTAGCCTCTGTAGTAGCAAGAATTCATAATAGCTAGAGTCTATTTCAGTCAAGGGTCTGTAATATTTATTTTTGGTGGGGATTTAGTTGCTGATTGTGTCACCAGAGAGTCCGTAATAGCATTAAATGAGAGGTGCAGGNTCACATCCGCACCCATACTGGTGTTCGCCCTTACAAGTGTGACCACTGTGATAAGACCTTTACCCAGCCTGGTGCCCGACTGAAGCATGCGCGAAACAATCACCCTGACAAGCCACTTCCAGGAAAGGTGAGTTGAACATTAAATTGTTGTTTTATTTATTTATGTGTCTCACAATAATAGAAATACAGTACACAATGTGTAAGGTAATTAATGAAAAGAAGTGGAGAGGAGACCTAACAGAAACTGTAGGAGCTTTTGAGAGGTAATAGGCCTCCTTGAACTTAATGAGCTGTAACTGAAAGATGGTGTAAAGTCAAAGGTAGAAAAGATTTATGACCGGTTTTTATATGTACTTATCAATTTTAATCTTTAGTATTTTCTTAAAGGAGGACATGAATTAAAAAAAACTTAGGTCCTTGAAAAAACAAACTGAGAACTTCTTAGTGTTTGTTCGACAGTAGGATAGATTGTAGGCCTGGGAATTTCTTGTATTGTAACGGTGGAATTGATTGCTTTGGAAGACTTTGTTACAAAACCTTGGAGGCGAGAATGAATTTTTGTGAGAATACGTTTACTATGAACTCCCATAACAGTGGACAACCTCAGGACTGTGAGGTAGCCTCTGTAGTAGCAAGAATTCATAATAGCTAGAGTCTATTTCAGTCAAGGGTCTGTAATATTTATTTTTGGTGGGGATTTAGTTGCTGATTGTGTCACCAGAGAGTCCGTAATAGCATTAAATGAGAGGTGCAGGGAATTGATTGCAAATAGGTGTTGCCAGTCACAATTTTTTGTTATTTTTTATGTTGTGGTGGCACCTTTAACTAGGCTACTATTTGAACCCTTTTACTCTTAAATGGTGAGATGATCTGATATCTAGCTTTTACTTGTCAACATTCAAATGAACCTCTTTGGCTAAACTTTTGCATATTGCGATTTAGATTTTAGAATTTTACCAAAAAAATTGAATTTTTTATTATTTTGTTCACTTTTTGGGATTAAAGAATATTATATTGGCTTAAAAACAGGAGGTGAAATGCTGATCTCATATCATTTTTTCCTCATGTTATTTTAAGGAGACAAGTACAGCTACCTCAGCAAGTGCAACCACATCACCCTCTCAAAGTGAAGATCAAGATGTTGAGTTGACTGATGTCAGTGATGATGCTCCTGCCTCAACCGAGGTGTCCGGTGCTGAAACTCCACAGGCTGCTAATGATGTTGTTGAGGTGCCTTTGGAGGCTGGCTCTGTTGTTGTGGATGTTGAAATTCAACTGCCGTCAGCAGCTGTTGCACCATAAGCCACTTAAAGTAGCTGCTGCAGAATTAATCTTAACCTTCCTCATAGAAGGTTTTGGTTTTTTTGCTTTGGTTATGACTTGCCCCTCCCCCCTGGCCTTTGTCTTGCGAGCTTAACCTCTTCCTTGGGTTTTAAATGACCGTTTTTGTTTGGAGTACGGATATAATTATTTGGAACTGCCAAGCAACTGTGACTAGTTAAAAAAGTTTTGGTAGTTTGTAGAACCTCCAACAGGATCCCTTTTTTACTCAAGCAAGATGTCATTGTTTTAGTGGTCATTTTGGGTTGGTACCAAATTATCTTCCTTAATTGCTGGTCTTGGGGCAATAATCCTTTTAAATTTGTCCAGCTATTTTTAGTTAACAAGTAAAGCTGGATCATTGTGTGCATGCACACTGGTAAATTTAAAAAAAAAAACTGAAAAGTTGAGCCATGAGAGTTCTAATGATGAGTTATTATAAGCTGTTATAATGGTGTTAGTCGAAGAGGTGAAGGGAGGAACGACCTCTGTCAAGTAAAAAATGTCTCAGGGCATGTAAGCTTATAACTTTTTACAAAGTTCTATTTACCTTAGACCAAAGGGAATAAAAAGACATTCTGAGGTATCACAATATCAACCTTAGAAGGGTGAAGAGAACCAGAGGTTTATTTAGTGATTCATATTTGTTATTGGTGTAGGAATTAATTAAATAGAATTTGAAACTGATTGTGATAGAATTGATAGGTTAGAAAATTGATATTGCTTCTCTCCTTAGCATGGCAGGCCATTGCATGCATACAAAGTAACTAAAGAGTAAAGGAAATTCTGGAAATTCGATTTTGTATGATTATACCTGTAGATGCCAATGATATTGAACTTTGCCATGTATCATTCTGGCTTATTAGGCTAATTTCGCCGTCGTACTGTGTGCAAGTAGGCTAAAATTGAGTGGGGTAATTTATCAAACTAAGGCATATTTTGTTTGTTTCAGTTCATGGTTTAACGTTAATGTCAAATGTAGGCGGTGTAAATTAAGCCACAAATATGAAATATTTGCTAAGAATCGACTGTAATAAAATTGATTTCTCAAATTTGGGATGCTTTTCTTACCTACATCACATAGATGGAACTACCAACGAGTGAGTCTTACCTCGCTGACGGCTCTGCGATCCACGCACGTTCCAAGCGCGATGCAAATCTCGACCAAAAATCTCGGATAGGGTAGCAGTTTAAGCTTTTTACGATTCCTGTTAAACCGTTGACGCTATACTAAGTTTACAGAGAGGATTGAAACTATGATTTGCCATGTATGAAAATTCTGTAAAGATTCAACTTGTGCGCATGCCTGCGAATGAGAGCGACGAATGAGTTGCAGACAACACTCAAGCTAAGCGAACCCCCATTTTTCCTTAGGGATAGTAGAGCGTGCGATACGTGAGCGCACGTGAAAATCACCCCACGCGAGAAAAGGCGCGTGTCGCCTTTTCTCGCGTGTGGTGATTTTCACGTGCGCTCGCGATTCGCTCGTTCTATCCCTCAGGAAAAATGGGGTCTACTCGTAGTCTAATAAGAGAGTCCTTTCCTCGCGTGGGGTGATTTTCACGTGCGCTCGCGTTTCGCACGCTCTACTATCCCTGACGCAAAAAGGGGGGACCACTCGTAGTCTACTCTCTTATAAAAATAACGGGGATTCTTATCGGAATGTTAGAATTAAACCCGAGGGAGATCATTCTGGGCGTGGCCTAAATTGGAAATGTTGCCCAAAAGTTGCCGAGCATAGACAGCCTTATTTGGACCCCTTACGGTATTTATTTTATTTCCTTTTATTTATTTCGCCACTCATATCTTTTTTACAGTGGTTAAAGATTGGAACACATGTCTAGTAGCACGAAGTTCTCTCCAAGCTTGTTAGAGCTTTTTCTAAGGAGATCTGCTATCCTGCGAATACAGCCGTTTCTCCTGGCTCCTCGCCGCAAGGGACGCAAACTACGTTCTTATGGGTTCGTCATGCGTTCCTGCCCCACTAACGCGTGACGAACCCCCAAGAAGGTCTGCGTGGGAGGCTACAAATGAGGAGCAAGGAGAAACGTCTGTATTCGCAGGCTAGATATCTCCCCTTTGTTACATAAAGTTTTTAAAATGACGGTGACTTAATTAAATTCATTACCATGTAGCAATATACCGGGGTAGATCAAATATTATGAATTATTTAAAACAGCTCTTACCATCCTCACGGTTTTTCTAGGTCGGAATCATACTGTTGTTGAGCAATATGTAAATGTGTAATTAGACGAGTATCCCCTTAGTTGTGGGAGTCCCCCTCCCCCTCGTACCCAGAGTCTTTGCCCTAGACTTTTTTCCTCAGGGATGGTAGAGCAAGCGAAACGGGAGCGCGCTTAAAAATCACCCTACGCGAGAAAGGCGAGACGCGGCGGTGAGAGAGAAAAATGAGGTTTTCTCTCTCCCCACCGCGTCTCGCCTTTCTCGCGTGGGGTGATTTTCACGCGCTCTGGCGTTTCGCTCTCTCTACTATCCCAGTAGCCTCTCCCACGGGCGTTTTTAGGGGAGCTTTCCCCTAAAAACGCCTGCGGGGGAGGCTACTATCCCTGAAAATTGCATGGGGGCATGTGGTCGCATGAGAACAGACTGTCCTGTTGGTCAGTGGAAGTTGCTATTTGCAATTGGTTATTTCATGTACGAGGAAACTGTGTGAGGTAATACGGCAGCATTTTGCATAACCGCCTCTGATCTCCGCCGTCATGATACGATGAGCTTTAGTTGTTTCATTCGGAGTTTGCACAGGTTAACAATGGCAGCTCCACGAAAAGTCGCAATTATCGGTTCAGGAAATTGGTAAGTCAAGTCGCTGGTGTTTCGAACCTGCCATTTCGTTTAGAAGGAACAGATGAAGTTTGCCTTTTGATCTGTATTTATGAAAGCCCTTCTAGAACGACGAACAGTGATGAAAATACATTGCTTTTGCTTTTGTTTTTGCAGGGGCTCTGTTATTGCTCGCATCATTGGAGGAAATGTGAAACAACATCCGCAGTCCTTTGAGGAGGAAGTGCAGATGTACGTTTATGAAGAGTTAGTGGAAGGGAGGAAACTAACAGATATAATCAACACTGAACATGAAAATGTGAAATATCTCAAAGGTCACAAGATCCCAGAGAATATCGTAAGTTGATGCTCGACCGGTAAATATCTAAATCTTAAATCTATGCTTGGACTGTTTCCCAACTGAAACAGAAATTAGTTTTTCATCAGCATTAAAGGTATATTAAATAGTGTTTGTATTCTTGAGGAATGATAAGATGAATCTTCTGTAATTGGAGAACGCTTAAAAATGTTGCTTTAGGCTGTTTTAATTGGTCTTTTTGCGTTTAACTCCCTTGTTTGCAATACAGACAGAATATTGTTGTTATATTGCAAGTTGAAAGATAATATATTACTGCCAAATTTTCCATTAATTTGCTACTAGTGCACTTTGATTGGGTGGATTACAAAAGTAAACAGATGCTTGCGTTTGGACATGCAATATTAAAATCATACGTCAATTAAAAACAGAAACCACAACAACAATCGGCGATGTACAGTTTTATTGACAGTCTTAAATTCCTTTATGGTGGATTATTCATCATATCAACTCAGTTTATAGAACCATTTTTTTTTTTTAAGTTTAACACTTACAGTGTACATACAAATTAAACAAAAGATGTATCAGTCTATACCATACACCGCCCAGATTCCAGCTGGTACCAGTTTTCCTGACAGAAGGAACTTGCCTTACTCTTTGGTGGGACTTTTTAGTTGTTGTGAAAGAAATTATTCTGAAAGGAAAGGAAACAATCCAGCTTCAAATTGATTGGTTTTGGAGGGTTTTTTAAGTGAAAGACTGCCAAGGATGGAGAATTTTATTCAAGCCATTGATACCTTGGGGTGCAGAATCTAGGTATTGCTGGTTAGCATAATTAATATGAAAGTCTAAAACATAATTTCATCTATTGTAATAACCAGCCAGTATTCCACCATGAAGTTAAGTTATGACGCATATTTATATAGTGTATGAAAAACCTAAAAATTCCCCCAGTCTTGTCCAAGTTGAGTGGATTAAAAGGAACTAGCGAAAGCAAAGTTAGAGGTTATTTTACGTTTAATAAACAAGCAGCAGTGTTTTATCGGGTATAAAATCACTTGCCTTGAGCTTGTGATTTTATACCCGATAACACATGTGCTGCGAGTTTATTAAACGACTTCAAAGACAGTCCTGGAAAAGCGTGTCTCGATGGAGTTGATAACAATGACAGTTTTGTGAACATTGGAAATTAGCATACGAAAAAAAACATTACGTATGAAAGTATTATGCAAGAAAATCAAATCTCACACATGTTAAGAAATTCTCCATCCTACAAATGACACTAACCTAAGAGGACATGGCGTCTTCTTCCAGAGCTTTTCAAAGGTCTAAAAATGTAGAGGAAGGGAGGAAGTTAATCGAAAATTATACCCAAAGTCAATAAGTGCAGTGAAAAAGTAGTCTTTGAAAATATTGTTCTGGAATGGCCAAATGGTAGGTAAACAAAAATCCAGTACTCGAAGTCTTGAGTGCAATGCTTGGACACTGAGCTTGTTCCGCTACCTCAACGGATATTAATTTTGGTCTTGGCCGAGATAGGGCAGCATAACCAGCAAATTTGTAATTACTTTTTATAAGGTAAAAAAGGAAAGAACTTACATAGGCTGGACTGATGTGAAAAAACCAGCGAGTAAATAAGACAATGACTATTATAAAGGAAATCCGAGCATAACAAATTGACCAATAATAAGGATTTCTGACAGATACTATCTCTAAAATGACTAACCTACGTCTCAAGCGGAAATAATCACGAAACAGAAAAATGATTGTTTATATAACGCTCAGTGGCATGACGGCACAGAGCTATAGCCAATATTACCGCTGAGTCACTGAGCTTTTGGCTTGTTAAATTGGTGAAAGAACAAAGTTTAATTTTGTGCAATAGTAAATTTACTGCGTGTGTTATTTTCATGAAAGAACATCAGGGAATCCTAACATGAGCCCAGCAAAAGGGGAAAAAAGAAGGAAAGCAGTTAAATAAAAGGAGATAGAAAGTGAAAGATGAAAGTTAAAGGGACAGTTTTTTTTTTTTTTTTGTCAAAAAATAATGTCTCTCTGGAAATTTTAGAACATGCTTGAACTTAAATGTAGAAGGCTATAATAAATTATTTGTAATTTAGGGCCTGACTTTTCATGGCGAAAGAGTGACCAGAAAATTGCTTGACTGTGTTTCAGTGGTATCTCAGCAAAACCTCCAAGTGTTTATGGGTTGTTTAAAAACCAAGTTCCCATGTGTTTTACTGCTAATGACTCTTATTTGATTGTAGAAAGCCAACCCTGATGTTGTCAATGCTGCAAAGGGAGCAGATATTCTGGTGTTTGTTGTGCCACATCAGGTCATTATTTTATTATAAATGTTTTTGCTTACCTATGTTTGATTATATTTTATTCATGTATAATATTTGCATAAATTATTAGATTTTTATGTATGTAACCCACAGTTCACAAAAATTCAACACAAATGTCCTGAGCTTTTTTCTTTGCTTGTCACTTTGTTTTGGGAACATTCAAGGCTAAAAGCTAAAGCTGATGTTCTCTCTAAACCTGTGTAAAGAAGGCACGATTCATTGCTTTCATTCATTTCATTTTTAATAGAAATAAGACACTGGCCTCTTGTGTACTCTGTTATTAGAGTGATATGACAGACTCAATTGTTTGCATGGTTGTGAAATGAACATTTTTTTGCATAATTTCTTCTTTACCAACAGTTTGTGAAAAATGTTTGCAGAAAGCTTAAAGATAGCTTAAAGCCAAACGTGATTGCTATTTCACTAATAAAGGTAATGAAATATACATAAGTGAATATGAAATGCACATAAGCAGGGAGTTCATTAGGCGTAGGAGATCGGTGAATTCTCCGTTTGACACGTAGAGCTCTCTGGCTAAAGGTCATTAGTAAAATCCAACTAGTGGTCTATTATNGCTTAAAGATAGCTTAAAGCCAAACGTGATTGCTATTTCACTAATAAAGGTAATGAAATATACATAAGTGAATATGAAATGCACATAAGCAGGGAGTTCATTAGGCGTAGGAGATCGGTGAATTCTCCGTTTGACACGTAGAGCTCTCTGGCTAAAGGTCATTAGTAAAATCCAACTAGTGGTCTATTATCAATGCTGCATTCTGATTGGTTGAACTACTACTAGGCTATATGTTGTAGCCCACTAGTAGCGAAAAGCGCCAGCTTTGAAAACCAAAACAATGGTGGCTGAATTGCATTTTGTTAGCTAAAGTTGTGTTGTCTCCATATTTTTGACCAACTAGTTGGATTTTACTAAAACAATTATTCCTCTCGCCCTCATGACCTGTGAGTCAATAGCCTGTTCAGCCTGCAGCCTCATGGGCTATTGACTCGGTGCCCATTTGGGCTAAAGGAATAATTGTTAAATATCCTACGACTATTTTTTACTTGGATGTGGACCCTGTTCAAAAATATTCTCCTGCAATGTTACACCTTTCTCCTGCTACTAGAATTTTTAATGAAAAACCCTGCATAAGTGAACTAATATACATAGGTTGTGAATAGTGACCTAGCAACTTCGCACTTAGTAATGTAAAAATGTTCCCTTCTCTTCCTACTGCTTTATCAGTGCGACTTGTACCTGATGGTGTCCTGCTTGTTTTGTGAGGGCTCCTGGCTGGGCTGCCAGTGTCTCCAGCCATTGGAGAGGCTTCTTCTAAGAGCTTGATTCCACTGATTTGAGCTCTTGCAGTGTAGAGGTATCAGGCACCCAACCGCCATTAGTCATACAGTTTACACTGTTGCTTCTCCATGGAGGGTTTTTGGCCCTTTAGCCTTTGGGAAAGTCCTGTTTGGGTTTACTTCACACATTCCTTTTATGTTAAGACCACTTCTTCCTCGTCAAAACTTCCAGTAACCTTATTGGATTTTTTCTTAAACCATACAATTCATAAGAATATAAAGATATCAGCTGTAAATAAGATCAAAAGTGTACAATTTTTTTGCCTCTTTAGCACATCTTTTGCCTACCCATAAATCTTTATCCTTTTTTAACAGTTTGGTATCGCATGTAAATTCATGAGAATCGATGCAATTAAGGACGAGACTCACATTATGACTTGGAAAGAGTGCAGAAGAAATAGCATAGACCGAGCTGCTTCCCTCAAACGTCAGGCCAGCGTCAGGGCAAGTGACCAGCAATATTTTTCTTACAAGGCCATGGCAGTTTTTGCACCTGGCTCCAAACAAGGGGAAAGGGGAAAAGGGATTTTTCAAAGATAAAAATTTAATGCCCTAACTGAGAGGTAAATTTTTAAGATCTGTGCCTTTTCAATCTCCTGCCTCCCCTGTCAGGGCCTTCTATTGAAGTTAAATCATATTTCCAGTAGATGGTGCGGATTTGGTTTTTTTTTTGACTCCTTTAAATATACAGTGTAATAATTCAATATCTGCTCAAGGAGATATGGGAGTAGTTACCTTTAAACTAGAAGGCACTTGCCCTGAAATAGCAGGCAGAGTTTTTTTTCATTATTGTTATCATTGCAAACTGTTTTTACAACACATTAAACTGCAACATTTGGAGGAATTATGTATGATTTCGATTCCTGCCCCAAGTGTGATGTTGAGCAAGGGTCATCTGGAATGAGGGAAAATTATCTTTTTTTTGTTCTGCAGGGACTTGACCATTCTGCTGTGGGATTAAACCTTGTTTCCAATATTATCAAAGATGAGTTAGGCCTTCCTGAAGTGAGTGTTCTTATGGGAGCAAATCTTGCAAAAGAAGTAGCAAGAGAAATGTTTGGTGAGGCTACAATAGGTAAGGAATTTGGTTTCATTTCTTAAATCAATTCTCTCTTGTTGTCCATGCAGGGGTGAAACCCTAACCCTGTTTAGTACAACACCCTCAATTTTTTTACCCTGTTCAGGATAAAGGACAAAATGTATGCTGTCTTGTTTTAAAGCCATTTATTGGCAATTGCAGTTGACCAAATTCATGTTATAATCATTGCTTTTGTACACTTGAAATACAAACAAAATTCATCTAGCAAATCAAATCAATTATGCAGGCAATACCCTGTTGACAGACTCACATGAAATTGCATACCCTGTTTAGGACAGCGAGGTAAAAAACCATACCCTGTCCAGTGGCACACTCCAGTATAAGCCAAATAAGTGAGAAGGTACCTCCCAACCCCCCCGGGGTTTGTCCAGTGCAGATTTCAACAGTTTAAGTGCTTGGTACCTCATGATAAAATATGACAGATGAACCCACGTACAACAAACCCACTTTACAGTATGTCACATTTAAATCAGGTTGCAGAGTGGAAGAGCATGGAGCTGTACTAAAGGATCTGTTCCACACGGAGTACTTCAAAGTAAATGTTGTAAAAGATGCGGATACTGTTGAGCTCTGTGGATCTCTGAAGGTAAGTTGTGGTAGCAAGTCTTGTCGTGAGTAATCACTAGTTATTTTTGGGGTTCTCCCAAAAATTTAAAGTTAAGGAGAAAACAGTTATATGGGCAGCAATGCATTACATGGAAAAGTGCTTTTGTGTGGGGCTTCAGAGGGTGACCCATGCCTCAACTAGAACGTCTCTTCTAGAACTTTACCATTACTTTGATGTAATGCTCTGCAATAGGTTTTTTTCTTCAAATTTATAGTGGAAAGTGCACTCAGCTTGTCCAGCTAGTTTACAAGCACTTCACTTAAATAAGAAAAAATAGAAACAAATAATCCAAATATAACATAACAGGATAAGAAACCCGAACTGGCAGGAAGCAACCAGTTGGCTAACAAGAGTGGCAGAGGATTTGAACTCGGAACAACCAAGAACAAATCCAGCAAGTGGCCAAAGAGGGACTCTGAACCATGGGCTGCCGGATCGCGAGTCCAGTGCATTGACCTGACTCAACCATGCTGCCTTCATAGGCTACTTTAGACTTTAGCTGTGTCATCACTAATTAAAGAGCATTGTTGTTCTTTAGAATGCTGTGGCAGTCGGAGCAGGAGTTGTAGATGCTTTGGGGTAAGAAAACTTTTTGCTTTTTTAGTGGGGTATATTGGCACAAGAACAAGTGCAAGGTTTTAAATTGAATATCTTTATCTTTATAGACCAAAAGCAATGAAATAGCTAATAAAGTTAGCCCAACTGTATCAGTAGCCTATAGATTGTTTTCGCTCACGTTGTCAGTAGCTGTCATGATAATTTCATGGACAGAAAGAAAGTTTTTACATATGGAAAGAATTCAATTCCCACATGATATTTTTGATACGCCAACATGATCGCTTTTTTTTTCGTTTTGGAACACTAATATGGCCACTGTGACATCATGTGAAAGTGATCTTTAGATGGTTTGACTAAAGAAATAATATTATCCTTTTGAACTCTTAGTTATGGTGATAACTCGAAGGCTGCTGTCATCCGTATTGGGCTGAAAGAAATGATCCAGTTTGCTCAAAGATTCTATGAGAATGTTGAATTAGAAACATTTTTTGAGTCATGTGGAGTTGCTGATCTGATTACAACATGTTATGGTGGCAGAAATAGGATTGCTGGAGAGGAGTTTGTCAAAGGAAAGGTGAGAAGAATTAAATTCCAGCCCCAGTTGATCAGGGGTAGACAGGGCTAACCCAGGGAACCTGACTAATACAAAATTTAGTTCTATCTAGGCTATTGCGCTTGCCTCAGTCATCCAGTGATCGCATCAGATTTGTTTCCATATTCATGAATGTTTTGATTGTCTGAACACACAGTTTTAGACGTCTTAGCAAGGTGTTTTGGACGATTATGATGTTATGGAAGCTTAAGCTATTTTTATTTTTAGATCATAAATTTTATGCATTTCTTATCCCTCCTAAAATTATTAGACTGCTTGCAGTTAGCCTTTTCAGTGTCAGGGAGTAGATGTGGATTAAAAAAAAAATGCTTTTAGCCAAATAGCACTGGGACAAGTTGAAAAAAGACATACTTTTCTTCCTCTTTGGGCTTATGCCCTCATTTCTTGCCGCGTACAGCTTCACTGCTTGCTGCTTGTGAATGCTACCCTGGTAACTTGGCAAAAAAAGAGGCTGCTCACAGAAAATGGTACCTGGTGATAGAGCAAACCAGTTACTGTGCTGTTTTTATTATCTGATTATAGTATAAGTTAGACTTCCATTACATGTTTCTCTGGTAGGGCCACATCCATTTTGACTACCGGTATGTAGTAAACAACTTTTCCACTTCAGGAAAATCTTGAATAGCATAAAATAATTAATGCTTAGTAGACATGGCATGCATATAAGATGAGCTATCATGGAAAAGTCTTGGTTCTTAAGATAGGCCATTACTGTATTATCCTTAGTTTTTGTTGTTTTCAAATTTAATAGAAGATTTATCAAACTGAACAGCAAATCAGTGTCATTAGTTAGTAACCAGTGCTGAGTTCATCCTAACTTGTGTTTTGTTGTGATTCTTAAGACATTTGAGGAGGTAGAGCAGTATATGCTGGGTGGACAAAAGCTTCAGGGACCACACACTGTCTATGAAGTTTATCATCTTCTCAAGGAAAATGATTTGTTGGATGAGTAAGTAACAATAGTGTCAACTCTGTCTTGTTCATCATTTTGATGATATTGAAATGAGACCTTCTAAGTGGGGGACGGGGGTGGGGAGTGGGTAGACAGGGCTGTCACTAAGGGTCAGGGATTTCCTCCGGCTACTTTCATAGGGGACAAAAAGAAACTGGAACCAAAAGAACTTCCTAGCTGGACAATAGACCAATTCCGATATATTAAAATTCATACTTGGCTGCAAGGCTTTGGGGAATAAAACAAAAGAAATCATCCTGAGGCTCAGCAATGAATAATACATTTTTTTGTTTTATTCCCCCTAGCCTTGGAGCCAAGTATGAATTTGATATATCGAAAATGGTCCATTCCCCTTCTACTAATTGCATGTACCTGGCAACTTGACATTTTAGCAACAGCCGTCTGGTACATGTCCCCAGTTAAATTACAAAACAGGTCTCTTTGCATAGTGAGGAGATAGCTATGTTGCTGTTGGTATTCAGTACTATTGTAATTGTGATTGTCCTTGGCGTCATCGTAGTTTCAACCCATTTTTATGTGATTTGTTGCCATTTCATCTGTCTTATGTTGCTGTTTCATGGTCGTCTCAGTTATCGGAATTTTACCGTAACAGGACCTCTGCAATGCTTTGAGGATTGGAAAATGCTGTTGTCATTTGATTTTTTTTAATGTTTAAAATGATTTGACCTTTCCTTTGCTTCACGGCTTTGTTTGTTTTTAGGTATCCGCTTCTTACAGCCATCTACAATGTCTGTTTTGAGAAGCATCCTCCATCAGAGATGATAGAAGTACTCAAAAGACACTTGTAATCATGCCTTATGAAAACATAATCATAATTATTACAATAGGTGATTAAGCCAGTATATATTTATTTATATTTTGTGGGTTTTTTGTGTCATATTCCTTAGCATCACATGTTTTTTAGAATTCCAATGTTTTTAGCTCACCAGACCAGAGCACTTGAGGTAAATATCGCCACTTTGGTCCTTGGTTATATTAAAAACTGGACTGCCCCTGTAGCTTAAATCAACCAATTTCAAAATACCAATTTCAATGCAATCTCCATTAGTATTTTTACACTCCTTGATCTGATCGGTTCGCTATCTGGGATATTTAACAAAATGATTCCACGAGCGCGCGTTGCATATGAGTTGGTAGTGTCGAGTTGGCTGTAAGCGTCTTGTATTCAACAAGCACGAGTGGAATAATTGTCAAATATTCACTCCCAAGCGTGTGGATATTAGGTGATACTGAAATAGAGAAACAAAGTGCCTGGCATGAGCTCGGTGTTTGCCTTAGTTTAGAGAAAAAACGTTTGAAAATACAAGAAAATCCTAGCGTTGATGTTTGTAAAGGTAACAAAAGACTTCAAACTATTCAAAACAGCTTTTTCTTTGTGAACTCAGGATTTCATCACAAGACGAATTTTTGCCCAGAAATATTAAAATCTGAATTTTTGAAAAAGCAAATGAAAGCAAATGTTTGCGAAAACTGTACTTGTCATCAAGTAAACAAGACGAAGACTAGAATCGTTAAGTTACTGTTGCGTGCCTTTATTCAAGATTCTGGAGATGGAAGATTTATGGTATAGTCAGTCAGTCACAGAGTTATGATTCTGTAATATATCTGAAGAGAATTTCGAAAGCATTGCGCACATGATATTTTACTGATATGGTGAAAATTAATATTTGTATGTATCCTTGATTTGTCGTCCTTTTCTATGGCTCTAAAGGTCGGGTTCTTTAAATATCAAGGATGAAATAAATCGGCTCCGTTGTCCCGGTTTCGCCGCTAGATTCTTTAGGAGAAAAACCTTTGACTGGCACCTTGATTGTTGTAAATAAATGGCATTTTTACTTATCTACACAATGTAACAAAGTTGTTTGTTTTTTTACTTTTATGTTATGATCTCACTGTGAAAATAAAGTATGTACCAATCCAATCTATCACTGTGCTGTTTCGAGTTTCTAACAATAAGGCTATGTTCATACTTTACCGGATAGTTTTTTGAAAAACTATCGGTATAGTGTGAAGACCTATCCGATATGTGGCTCTTCACTTAAGATATCGGCGTGTGAACAAAAGCCTTATCCGGTATGGTTTCCGCGCCGGCGCAAAAGCCTTCCTGTATTTAGTGTGAACATAACCCAAGTACGTGCTCTTTCTCGTATCCGTAGAGGCTTCTGCTCCCGGGGAAGAGGTGTACTCGACCAATATTTGCGTACAGGTCAGGGTTAGGAGACCCCAGGGGGGTACTCGACCAATATTTGGGTATAGGTGAGCCTCTGAGTGTTTAAAACCCTGACCCTGTTTAGGACAAAAAATTCCTAAAATACATTCCCTGTTAAGGACAACACTCTTCCCTCTTTGTGTTCAAGGGAGTGGGGAGAGACGAAAAAAAAATCGCGCGGCAGACGATGGGACAGGGAAAGAGCAGGCCTTTTCCCTCTTTCCAATTCCCCGCTCTTACTATTGTTAAATCGTAATTTTTTTCGTTGGAATACCCAGGTTCTGTGAAGGAGAGCGATATTCCATAGGACTTAACGCACTAAAACGTTCTGCATTCTATAAGCCTTTTTTCCTCAGCTACTGTTATATGTCTCGTTCTCCATTTCTGGAAATTACTGGCTCAGTTCAGCAGAAGGTTTAGTTTCTTCCTTATTTTTTTCTCTTTTTATGTTTATGTGACATTGCAGCTTTATTAGATAACATTGCATATGCCCCATGTGGCGATTAAAGGAAAAAAATAGCACGACCTGCTAAATTACACTCAGGGGCGGATCTAAGGGGAGGGTGCAGGGGGTGCGCACCCCCCTCCCCCTCGAGATGACCTGCGGTTTTCTAATACAACTGGTATTCTGCAAAAAAAAACTATGTGGTTTATTGGTGTTGAAGTAGAGCAAGAGACGAGTGCACCCCCGCCTAAAAAAATCCTGCATCCGCCCCTGACACTAAACTAGAATGATTCAGTCTAGCTCTGTGAACTTTGACTCGTTATCTTAGTGCAAACTTAACTTGGTCTCGACATTAAATACAGCTGTAAATACTCGTCTAAACTGCAATTTAGCCTTTAAAGTGGGTGTAACCTAGGCTTTGTTTAAATAATCCTCCCTACAACCTTAATCTTTAAGGTTTCTTTCCCAAGAATGAATAGAGTGATTTTTGGTTCTTCTCGGCAGTTGTTGTACTTTATTTTCCTAGCAAAAACAACACCGACAGCAATTTGCGTCAAGAAATTGCTACAAATTGCGTAGACAGACCAATATTACAAAATTCTCCGATCCTTCAGTTTTCAAACGAGCCGCAACACTTCTTGCACAATGCGAAACTTAGTTACGCAGCCCCTATTACAAAATACGTCAAGAAGTTATGACAAAATTGAGCAGAACACTGCAGATTAAAAGAAACTACTTCAACAGCATTGACGCATAAAAGCTGTGCACAATGAATATCCAACTGTTTGGCCTTGTTTATACCGGGAGGCTAGGTGACAAGAGGTTTCACGCTGACGAGTGGTTATTTATAATTTTTTGAAGCGGCTCACTCACTTGGTCGCCCGAAGTGAGTGACCAAATGACAACATCTAAAAACGCTATATTTTTCTGGACTTTTCCTGAAAGTTATCAGGGGTCAATGATTTCCAATGTCAATCTTTTCTCTATTATGATTAACGTGTGCAAGGCAACCAGTACCTCAAATGTTTTTGTTTTTGCTCCTAGCAGATAGTAGGCGTATCAGGGGCATCTTGTTGCCCCCCCTCCCCCCTCTGGTTTAGTCATTTTTGGGTTGACCGCCCGTTAAGTAAGATGAAAAGATGATAAAGTCAAAAAAAAAAACTTATCAAGCTGTACTAGATAAATTGCAGTCTCTATAAATTCCAGTCAGTTTCAACAAACACAGTAGTTTAGACTATCAATCTGTCCTTCAGGGGTGACCATGGTGATGTCTTCTATTGGCAAGCACTGAAGGTAATTCAGTCTCTGGTGGTCTCTGGTAGAGGTTCATGGTAACTTCCCGTAAAATTTGAATTTTCTGAGCCTTAGAAAGGCTATTTCTTGACATTCTGATCTAGCAGAATATTTGCATCGTTGAAGTAGCCCCCTACCAATTAACCAACTTTTTTATTATTCCCCCTATGCAAGCCACAAATACCAGAATACTATGTTTTGGCACGCATTCTGCCACCATATGTGGGTTGAGTTTGTTGTTGGTTCTCTCCCTTGCTCCGAGAGGTTTTTCTTCGGTTACTCCCGTTTTCCCGGGTCCTCAAAACCGCCGGATGTACTTGTTTGTTATTTTTTAATCTTCTGCTACAATACGTGATCAGAAGGCAATCACAAAGTTGATTGCCCATTTAAGTTTGTTCATTTTTTAATTTTTTGGCAAATTATACTCTTGACACGAATGACGAACGAACATTTAAGGTGCATAACTAATATTGAATATTTAAGCGACATTACAAACATACCACAGCAAAAAATGTTGGTCTTTGTGGGAAATAATTTGAGTACTGACAACTGGATCAAAAACGTTTTTCAAGTTGAAATGCTGGTTCAACTTCATATTTAGTAGATATTCGTTAGCTTGGTATAGCCGTCAGAGTTTTATTTTCCATGGCGAAAGCGGGCTAACTTTATGGCCAGTTTTGTTCTTTGATAACTTGGACAATTACACATGTCTCTCAACTGTTTAAGTGGTTTGTTTTTCATCCTCAATCATCTGATCATAAAAGGATGTAAACTGCCGAATCTTTTGTTAATTGTTGTCTGCCCTGAAGAAGGAATAATACAGCAGCTTGGCATTTTAAATTCGTTTCAGAAAGAGAAGACGAAGCGTTATTGACCCAAACAGGTAAATATTTTTACAAGGTTTGTTTGTTTTGTTTTGTTTTTTTACCGCGACGGTGTTGTTATATCGGGGCATCTATCAGACAGAATCTCGGCTTGTTTTATTTCTTTTTTTGCAAACATCGCAAAAAACGTGAAAAAGAAAGGAACATTGAAGGGAAACTTGTATCAAACCTCAGAAAAGTGCGCCTTGGTTTTGGTCATCGGTCAAAAGAGAAAAAGCTCAGGAATCAAAATTCGACTTCTGAAACTTGTATCTCATTCTTTAGGAGACGTTTTTAAAGTGTCCCATGCCTGAGGTACTGTATTCAGTAGACTTCCTTTTGAAAAAGTATCTTCCAATCTTGAATGTGGCGCTTTCGATCTTTTTTAATACTGGGAGCATGCTGCTATAGAACGTTTAAGGTTCTAAGTGTTTGTCTTAGTTTTCAGTAATTTGTTTCCTGCTGTAAGTAAACTGTGCTATAGACAGATTGATTTGCCCGATGGCGTTGGTTGTTCTTGCATTTAATAAATGTCGACTTTTGTCTACCGATTCACTTTCGTTGATTGGAGCTCGCTGTTGGTTAAACGATTTGTTTTAGCTGAAACAATTTACAAAAAGTTTTTGATGGGAGATCTTTATTTATAAGTCACTATTTTCTTTAAGATTTTGGAGTTGTGTCTTTTTCTCGGTATTACCAACAAAGGTAAAGGAAAAAAAAGAGTTCACGTTAGTGTCATGTAGAAACTCAGCTGGAAACTATGTAGTACGAAGCCTTTGTGGCTTGTCATTGAGCATCCAAGAATTTTTTTTTCTTCTTCAGCCAATGAAGAATCGCCCTGTGATTTTGTTACTCATCCCTGTTGCCATAGTAATTTTTGCTTTCATGGCAACCGAAGGTAAGGTTTAATTTCTTCTTTCCACTTCATCTCAAACTTTCAAACGCCTTTTCTAGCTGCAAATCACTTAGCATTCAGTTATTTCAGAGGAACCCTTTAACCTACTCAGCAATATACTTACCTTTTCCAAACTTTTTATTTTTTGATGACCTGAAGACTACGTCCACGCAAGCGCGTTTAATTAGTTTCCACACGACAGCGATATTTTAATAATTCGTTTTTGAACCTCTGTATATGCGAGGAACATCCGTTTACAACCAATTTCTCATTCCATGACAATCAAACA